GGGGGGGGGGGGGGGGGGGGGGGGGGGGGGGGGGGGGGGGGGGGTTAGTATTGGGTTGTGCTGATTTTCAGGTAGAACGGCCGATGCAGAGATTATGTAGAGCAGGCCCAAAAACATGGAGCCCCGCGCTCCCACCTTGACGGAGCTTGTCAGATTCCGCCCCCCAGGCTATTTCGAGGTGGGAGGGTATCTGCTCATTGGGAGATTGCCCCTCGGGTAAGAAATGAGATATTGCCCAAGGTAAGAAACGAGATCAGGAAAACGGCGTTTCTTCCGATGATCGAGCTTGATCTTACTCCTTGTAGTTTTGCTTGGAATAGAAGTAGTGTAAGAGCTGCGGGTATGGATTATGCTTCGAGAAGCAGCCAATGACCAGCCCGCTACGATCCGCTCTTGTTTCCATGGATTGGGCTTGGCCGGCCGTGGCTGGCGTGTTCAAATCTTGCCGCAGTAGCACGGACCCAAGTTCGTGTCATGCCGCCATCCCCCGCCTTAACCTTAACCTTTGTGTAATTGCGTTCCGCTACTACTACTGTACGCAGTTTTACTACTGCTCCGGGTCCGACTTTGTTGAGATGTACGTTGGGCGCGGTGCGGCTAGGGTACGAAAGTTGTTCGTCAAGGCAGGCAAGACGGCGCCGTGCATCATCTTCTTGGACGAACTTGACGCCTTGGGCAAAGAGCGCTCCGGCACCGGAGGGCGACAGGTGCTTACACTAACCTACGTGAATGTTAGTGGCGTGTTTCACAAACCTTTTCTTTTTCTTCACCGGGGCATGGGTCGTCGATTTTTGGAAACAGTGCTTCGGAAGAAGACGAGCGCTGCGATTCATGGTGGTGTATTGTGGTATGTCCCGTCAAACTTGTCTCACAGGGAAGAGTTGCTTTTTTTTATCTTTCGGAGAAAGGACGATGCGGAGCAAAGGCGTGACCGATAAGCTGTACAACACCAACGTGGTAAGATATGCTTAGAGCATTCGCGGGTCGTTTGTGATGGTTGCCATGAGCTCTAAGGAGCCCGTGGCGTCATTCCCCCGAGGTGTGGCATCTTACGGCCGTCCCGAACGGCCTTCGCGCGGTACCACCCGCCTCTCCCTCTCTCTCGTGCCTTGCCAGACGAACGACGAAGCGGAGCAGACCTTGAACCAGCTCCTGGCTTGCATGGACGGCCTCGACACCAACAACAACGGGGTCATGGTCATCGCCGCCACCAACCGCTACGAGGTGCTCGACAACGCCCTCACCAGACCTGGCAGGTGCTACTTCGTGTGTATTGCTGGCGCTGAACCGCCTGTGGGCTCTATGACCTCCCCTGGCGCGGAGCGAAACGCTTTCCATCGGCTCCGTTGCGGGTCTCTGGATCGCAGCTATCTAGCTTGAACGGGCACGGCTCTGTCACATCCTTGAGAGAATTTTTTCGCGCATCGTCGGTGGGTACCCGTACCGTACCTATCTTTCCGCGATACCTCCCTGCCCTCGTGTGGAAAAAAACTCAAGGGGAATGAAGAGCCATCGCTGTGACGAATGAAAGCGCCAAACCCACGCCACTCTGATTGCTGACTTCTCTGGTTCCACGCCCTTTTGCTGCTGTTGTGACCGTGTTGGAAAACCCTGCATCAGGTTTGATCGCATCGTGCGGGTCGACGTGCCGGACGCGGCGGGCAGAGAAGCGATCCTGAAGGTCCACACGAGAAAAATGAAGCTCGAAGACGTTGCCGTGCTGCGGGCGGTGGCGGAGCTTACACCCGGTGAGCGTTGTTGAAAGAAAGGGAAATGGACAAGAACAGTGGGTACAACATACCCTCCCGATTTTCGGACCAAAATGGGTAGCTACCCGGCACTCCCGGCTTCGCGCTGACAACCTGCCTTGGTGAGCTCCGAACCCCTTAATCCTGCGCCTGGACAACACAGCCAGGCACTGTACACGGCATGAGCATCGGCCTGTCCCAACTTTCCGGCACACGTTCCGCCCAAGCGCCGCAGCGACGCGCAAGGCCTCAACGCTTTGCCCGAAATCATCTGATATTCCTCCCTATCCCGGTGGGTATATCCCATCGACTTCGTACTACAGTAGAGGTCCCTGTTTAGTGCCGGTTGTATAGTGCCGGCTGCCGGTATAGTGCCGGCGTTTTCGGCTCTCACACACTGGGATATCAAGTCGTTCTGTACTTTTGAATAGTGCCGGTGCCCGGTATAGTGCCGGTGAAATTTCTTGCGCACACCCTGGCACTAATAGGGACCTCTACTGTATTTAGTGTATCAAATGTACCCACTCTTGTTTCCTTTTTTCCCCACTCTCTCCGAATTACTGTACCCACCTTTGTTGTCCTCCTCCGGACCACGGAATCCAACATACACGTCCACCGCTCTCGGCGGATCATCGAATACAGATAGCTTCGAAACGTCTCAGCACCGTACCGTACCGTACCGTGCCGTACTGCACCGCACCGCACCGCACCGCACCGCACCGCACCGCACCGCACCGCACCGCACCGCACCGCACCGTACCGTATCCATGACATGATTGCACAAGGACCGCGGACCGCGGTAGAACACCGTAATAAGACACCCCTTCGGTATCAGCGGCAAACCACACCGCCGGCAACCATGCCCGGCAAGCAGCAACGCACACGCGGCACGCCACAATAATGTTGCACAGGACACGACGGAAACGACCGACACCCGAACGGATCGCGCGCGCTCGAGCAAGCAGCAAAGAAACGAACTCGGTCCTCTCTTCCCCTCTCACACACATGCACATGCACACCGATTTGCTGTGATCTGGGTGCGACATGTAGAGGAAATGTACCCTGCAGCGCGAGCACCGGCTTCGGGGCATCTCCGTCAAATTTTGCCAGTGTCATGGCAGTAGGTCAACTTTTGCCTCATCCAAAGAGTTGAGATGGGATTTGTAGTGACGGCCTTGTCTAGACGACAGTGCCTCCCGCCCGCGATCATCACCCGCTCAAATCTAATCTTGAACTCTTTGGATGTGGCAATAGTTGGCCCACAGCGCTTACTTGACGGAGGTGCGCCAGCGCTTGCCCCTGAGCGGGCGCCGATCACGGGCGAGAGACAGCGCCGCCTAAACACCAGGTTCGGTGGCGATAGGGGTAAGTTCCACAACCGCATCGGGAGTGGCCGTCATCTGCGGCAAGGGGGCATCCGGCTGCCCGGCATGCGGCCGAGCATGCAAGCAAGCGGACAGGGGCTGGAAGGTCGCGGAGGTCGAGCTACAGCGCGTTGCCTGCAAAGGGCGGGCCGGGCAGGAAAAACAGCCGGTACACCGGAGGTGTATGTAGCGCGTGTGGCCTCGACACACTTCCGGTTTGTCCGCTGTCTTTTTTTACCCGGCCCGCCCTTTGCAGGCGATGTGCTGTGGGACCCTGTGCGCTTGAGTGCATGCTTGTGCGCTTTCCGGGCATTAGGATGCCCCCTTGCCGCGGACGATGGCCCCTCCCGCTCCGGCGGTGGAGCTTTCCCCTACCGCCACTGATCTAGGCGGCACTGCTTCCCGTCCGCGATGATCACCCGCTCAAATCCCGTCTTGAACTCTTAAGATGTGGCAAAATTTGGCTCATAGCGCTAATTGACGGAGGTGCGCCAGCGGTTGCCCCTGAGCGGGCGCCGATCACGGGCGAGAGACAGTGGGTTGTGTGTGTGTGTTAGAGGGAGAGCGCTGAGTTCTTTGTTTGCTCGAGAGCGCGATCCGTTGAGCTGGGAAAAAAATTGTCCTCATGCTGTGTATGGTCCCTGGTCGTGTTGAACAGGCGCCGGATTCAAATCTTGAGGGATTTGGAGTTCAGCCAGGTTGTCTGCGCGAAATGTAGTTATATCCGAGTACCATTTTTGTCTGGAAGGTGGGTGTACCTACCTTTTGTCCTTTTTCCTGGGAAAACCCTTGGTATAGCCTCCGGGCCCGGGCGTGCTGAGGTGATCGCACGGGAAGGAACCGAAAAACGGTTGTCGCCACTAAGAGACTTGTTATCGTGGAGTGACTTTCAGACAGAGCAGTGAGCAGGACCCACTGAAGAAGAGGCACTGGCGTGGTTGTTCCATCTGCTGTGACGGAGGGGCTCCGCCGTATCACCGAGTCACAAGTACCCATACTTTTGAAATGACCCCCGGAATCTCCGTAGATCTGTATCGAGCGCCCGGTGTACGTTCACCAAGTGTGGTTGACACAGCTCCGTCGGATGGACGACAGCAATGCCGGGGTAACGGCAGTGGTCGAGTTTGAGTTGCGCGCGTGCATAAACCGCGACCTCTAGCTCTCAGTAGCATCCACGTCGAATGCAGGCCGACCGAAAATCTTCTTGTGTATTCAGCATACAATATACTTCTACTACTGTAGCGCCGCGATATTCGTGTGCGGCGTTTTCTACGATGCCTGCCCCGTGCTGACGCTTTCGCTACGATGTGTTTGGTCGACGGTGGCGTACGACGACCGATGCTGATGGCAGGTCTTGCCGGTGCGGAGCTGGCCACGATCGCGAATGAGGCTGCCATCTCCGCCGCTCGGAGAGGGTCGCAGCAGTTGCTCGAGGCAGACTTCTTGGTAAGACAGCCCCTCAACGCTCCCCGGAAATTCAGGGGTTCCTTTCGGTTTTGTCGTCGATGGATCATGTGGTACCGCCGCTGCCTGCTCGATGGCCTGTGCAATTGGTTGGAGATGTGGAATCGTCACGCTTGTGCTTAAACCTGTCTTCTGTCTCGAGCCGTGTTGTTATTGTAGCGGGTCATACACACGCTGGTGAGGGACCCCTCCATCGTCGTGTGTTTCGATGTGAGGAGGTGGTGCTGCCGCTCTCAAAAATTCATAAGCATGCCGCCGCGGCCGCCGTTGGAGATGTTGGCGTGTGGCGACTCGTCTCATGTCACCACACGAGTGCTGCCTGCGACAGGAATGGGTGTTGTCTTGTGCCTTTTCTGCGCGTCCTTCTCCTGTCGACCGTGCGCGTGATATCGCTCTGAAGAGATTCCGCCGCATGCATGTTAGTGGGTGGTCGGTTTGCCGTGATGCTTCCTCGAACGATTGCCATCCGTCGTTCGTAGGTCGACCTTTGCTCCGAACCGGACCTAGACCTTGTGCCCCCGGTTTTGCACCTGCTTCTCCGCCAATTTCGACTCGATCCACAGCCACGCCCCCACGCGTCTCACCAGCACTCTTTGCTCCCCCCGCCGTCTGCTCCTGACGATGCCTGCAACTTTCATCTCGCAGGAGTCCGTTACAAACTTTTACATCTCCCGAAAGAAGGGCGTTGCCGGCCTGCAGAACATGTTCAAGGGCATGCTGACATAGACCAGGATTATAGAGAAGAGGTGTTGTAGAAACACGATGGACACGCCGAGGGATGTTAGAGTAAAAGTTTTGTCGAGTCGGCGGGAGTTTTCTATTGCTGAGGCGTCGCCTGTTTTTTTTATTGGCGCGGGCGATGGGAGCCCGGCGAGCATTTCCTGCGAAGGGGTTGGGCCTTGGTAAATTTCGTGTTGAGGATAAGCTTTCGTGTGCTCGGTTTTCGGTTGACGTGACAAGTAGTCATGCCGTTGTCGTTTTGGAAGCTGGGTTCGGTTGTAAGGTCGGTCGTAAACTCCCGCAGACCCTGTTCTTTGATGGTACTCCTCTTTCTGACTCGAGAGTTTCGGTGTTCGCGCTCAGCCTCGTGCTCCGCCGCTTTTGCTGCGACGGCGGTGATGCCTCACGCAAGCTGGCCATTTCTCGTGTTCATGGCTGCGAGCTCCCAGCGGCATGGAGTATCAAGTAAATCAATCTCACCCTCACCTTGTTTGTCATCTTCGGTTCGTTCAGCTCACTAAACACGTGTCCTTCAAACTTTGACCCGGTCGCGTAGACCGGCACGACCAACACCCGGCACTATTTTGCTTGGAATCAACATGCTTGATACGAACGAACGGTGTGCCTCCTCACCCTTCCGAGGAGAAAACGAGACGGGATTCAGAGTCTGGCGGGGGCTGAACCTAGTACGTGTCTACTGCTTACCACACACTCAGTCTTTCCACCTAAAAAATCCTGCCGTATGAAAAGCCTCACACCGCGTAGAGGGTGCTTTGTGAACGAAAACCGGGGGATGGATGTGGTCATCATCTCTCCGGCCAAAAGCTATCGAAGCAACAACAGGATACATGCGGGGCTGTAGGTAATACTCCGAGTACTTCAATATTTACGGAGATACCACCCACCCCCGATACGCTCAATGTCCTTTTTTTTTTATCCAAGTTTTTTTTTTTGCATCTGGACTGCCTCCGTTGCAGCTTCCCCATTGATCCGTCCACACACCACAGCACTCGCCTCTTCTGATTGACCATGGCTAGCGTAAAGGCAACGGGCGTGATGATGCGGGTGGCGGGCCGAACAGTCCGCCCGTCGACGACGGCGGCCCTCGCCAGCACGCAGACCCGTGGGATCGCGAGGACAGCAACGGCTCTGAGCGCCAAGAAGATTGCGGTCAAGAACCCTGTGGTCGACCTCGATGGCGATGAGATGACCCGTATCATCTGGTAAGTGGAGTGGACCGGATTGTTGCAGGAAAGCTAGCACTCTCGCGGCTCCTTGGAGCCAAGACCCCGTGCATGTTTTGTCAGCTCACGAGGATTGCCAGCAGGCCCTGCTGGTCCGTTGGACTTTCTCCGGGAAAGTGTTGCAGATTCTGATCAAGCTTCGATCCCTGATCATATAATATGCGCCCTTCCAAAATGGGCGGTTTTGGTCATTGCAGACCAGAGCGCCAACAATGCCACCGCTGCTACACCTGGGGCGTGCCGATAGTAAGACCCTCCGGATCACGCATTCCTACCTTGTGGGGTCTATTTTCGGAAGAGAGGGCTCTTGCTGTGCGGGTTGGCGAGCTTGTCGGTCGGTCGTTCGCCGGCTTATCCGGCCAACCAGCTGTTTGAAGTTGGTGCCTGATTTGACAGGATTTGAGGAGGCCTTTCGGAAGCGCATGCTTGCCCTTTCGTTCTGTTGCCCGGAGAGAGCTTCAATCTTCTCCAATCGCAATCGCGAGATGCGAGGCATGCATACCCTTGCTTGCAGCCTGTAGTAGAGCATCGTAGAGCCGTCGTCGCAAGCGTCAAGAAGCGGGGTGTGGATCCGTTTCGCGGCTTGTTCCGGGCGTGCGGTCTCGGGTTGGGGTCCAGCACAGCGGCGTAGAAGCTCGTTTTTGAGTAGCAACAACTTCGGAGGAAGTGCAACTACGTGGCCGACATTTCATGCATGTAGATCCCATCACACCATCGCTCGAGCAGATTGAGAGTCATCTGTTTACCAACGGGTGGCATGATGCAGAATGCTGAGTAGGTCAATCCCCGGGTTTGTGAAGCGGCCCCCTTGCTCGATTAGAGGAACTAGGCGTGGACCGCCCGTGCACATGAAGTTGCGGTTTAGACGACTCGTCGCCAAGAGCCAAGAAGATGCCGATAGATGGCATCGCAAGCAAGTGACAGGTGCAACATTTGAGTGCTACCCGCCAGTGCCCCAGCTATCCCCCAAAGCGTGCATGGATGCACGTTTAATAACCTACTCAGCATGAAAGTGCGGCTGTTGTACAGCACCGGAGGCATGCCGAAACCAATCAATCAGTACTCATCAACATGCGGGTCATGTATGTTGTTGTTGTCTTCACATTAAAAACCATCCCGGTCTCTCTATCCAGTACCTCCTCCTGTCTCAATCTCTCCGTACTAATCCAGCACTTGACTCGGTCAATTTCCGTGGTCACAGGCTAACGTACCTAGAAAAGGTATACCAAAAAAAAATGGACCCCAAGGGTTACGTGCATATTATACATGCATACCATTTCATAGGTAGCGGTCGAATGTTGCGCATCTTGCCGACTCGGGCATGTCGCGCAACAACAAACCTGATTTGTTTGGTTAATTTCAGCGCAGGTATCGGGACTAGATAGATCAGCAGAGACGGGTAGCACTGTTGAAGATAGATTCTGGTAGGGCAGTCGTGTGCAGCATACGTTCTGTTTACTATCCCTTCCCCGCATGATGCATTTGCAGTGCTGTGAAGACTGACTGACATGTACTGGGATATAAAATAGTATGCATAGCAAGTGCGGTTCTTTGCAGCAGCAGTAACGATGAATTCGTGTTGATAGGTCCTATTCAGATACGATTTCGCCGACGCTGGCGCTTTGCTCGCTGCAATATGATTATCTTGGCGTCATGTATGAGAAAGTGTAGGTTTACTTTAGCCTTGGTATCTTGCGATCCTGGACGATTCTCCGAAAACGCGCGACTTCATATCACCGCGTTCAATGTCCAGTCTTACGTATGCAAGGGTTTCAGGAGTTCAGGAGGCCTCCTCCTGTGACTCGATTGCCCCGTTCCCTCTCGTGAACACTTCAAGCTCCGAAGCTGATAAGAAACGTGTTCTCGTATTTTGACCATGCATTCTTTCTCTGCTGCGTGGCTGCGTTTCCGGGTGCTTTACTCGAAACAGGGACCACATCAAGAGCAAGCTCATCCTGCCGTACGTGAACCTGGACATCGAGTACTTCGACCTGGGATTGCCCAACCGTGATGCCACCGACGACCAGATCACCGTCGACGCCGCGCACGCCATTTTGGTGAGGAGAAGTATCTTTGCTTTATCATACACCCCATCCGGTCTAATGGATGATATCCTTTGTTCCTGTTCTTGTGGCAAGGGGATACATGAACCCAGCCAGCCATCGGTGGTGCGAAATTGTCTTTCTTGAGGACGAGGGCAGCAAGTGTTCAATATGGTGCCGTGGGTGGCTTTGTATTGCCCCGCTTGCCGTGAGGGTCTCCAGATGACAACCGCGCTAAGTTTGCTTCCAGTACAGCAGTAGTAGCTTCGAGCGTGGCGGTAGCTTTGGGCTTTTGTTCTGTGTCGGCTTCTGTTCTGCATCCTGTGCCCTTCATTTGGCCCACAGGTGGCGTCGTCGTCTCAAAGCATCTGTAAATGGCATGGATTGGGTCTGACCTACAGTAGAGCCTTGTTGTATGCATATCACAGCGGTACTCTTCGCTTCTGACCCCGGCTTGTGCCGTTTATTATCTCATCGTGTCCTCTTCGCCGAACGCCTGATTGGCCGAACGATGATGATGTGGCATGACTGCGATGCTTCGTCACCCTGCGACACCGGCGGCGGGTGTGCTCAGGAATACAACGTCGGCATCAAGTGCGCAACTATCACCCCCGACGAGCAGCGAATGGACGGTGAGAACGAATTTTCGTACAGACGTGATCATTTCACAAGCACGCGGTGGGCGTTTCCGAGTTCCCTGCCGCTTTTGTCTGTCGTGGGTAGAAGCTTCCCTGAAGACTGGAGGGAGGGAAACGTAAAGGAAGGCCTTTTCTACGAGGGGGGACGGGAGATTTCGTCTGGACTCAACCACCCCGCATAAAAAGGCCCACCACCGCTGTGAACCTGCAATTTCTGATTCCATGATTCATCGCTGCTGCTGCTGCTGCTGCTGCTGTCGCTGTCGCTGCTGTCGCTGCTGTCAGAATTCAAGCTGAAAAAGATGTGGAAGTCTCCCAACGGAACGATCCGCAACATTCTCAAGGGAACCGTGTTCCGCGAGCCCATCGTCATCTCCAACATCCCCCGCATCGTGCCCGGTGAGTAGTATGCGATACTGCTATGCTGCTGTTGCGCGCAACCCAATTTTCGTTCACTTTCGGCGGCGCTTTTGTCGACAGCAACATGTATCTGCTGTGCTGCCAGAGGGGGGGGGGTAGAGTGCTGTTGTGCTGATTGCGTACTTCCACCAACAGAAGTTGTTGAGGCTGAAGAATGTTTTCTGGGCTCGAGGGGGGTGTTTCTACGTGCCTGGTGGCGGACGAAAGTCCGGCTCTCTGGCATTGGGAAAAGTAGCGAAGTACTGCTGTAGCTCTCCTTTCCTTCCTCGGTCGATTGTCGTAGCACGCACGAGTCTTGTGTGTCACTTTCGCAGTGCTACCAAAGTAATCGGTGATTTGTATTCCTTGTGTGTACCACGTTGCCATCGAAGATGAAAACTTCAAGAAACGGCAAGACGAGTTATTTAGTCTCCCCGCTGGCTACTGATGTGTGTGTGTGTGTGTCGTTGTTATTTGCATCGACCACGCTAACCGACTGCTGCCCAATGAAAATATGCGTGTGTGGCGCGTTCGTTGCATGCGTCCGTCCGATCGTTAAGGGTGGACCAAGCCCATCGTCGTGGGCAGGCACGCCTTCGGTGACCAGTACAAGGCCACAGACTTCATGACCAACGGCCCGGGGAAGTTCGAGATGTCCTTCAAGCCGGCCGACGGGGGGGAGACGCAGTCGTGGGAGGTAAGGGCAGGGGGTGGGGTGGGGGGATCGTGATAAGTATGGCGGCAGCACGGGTAGGAAAAGTCTGCGAAGATGGCTGGAATTCGGAGCTTGGAGGATACAGCAGTAGTGCTTGCATGCCACGGTTTAGATGGGACAGGAAGGGCGGGAATAGTCTCGCAAGCCGTGGCGAGGGTCAACGTTTGCATGACAAGCCCGAGAGGGATAGATAGTCCAAGGGGGAGAAGAAATGTCGACCACGCTGACCTCGTCGTACGTCCTTAACCTTGACCTTATTGTGCTTTGTGTGTCACTTGCAATCGTGCTTGTTGTGTCGGACGTTTTTGTTGGGCAAGGTGTACGACTTCGAGGGCGCCGGTGTGGGGATGGCGATGTACAACACGGATGAGGTACGCCAACCAACAATAAACGTGATTTGACCACCGTCCCGTGGAACCTCAAGAAGTTGTCCACGCAGA